CTATTTTCTTTTTTATTTTACTAAATCATAATAAAAGAAATTAACCAAGATCAAAAGTTAAAAATTACCCAATACTACAGATAAAAAATACCAATGGTTCAAGCTCCAAAGCTCCTTGCACTATCTTGCCATAGTCCAAGTTTTTTCTCTGATACTAGAATTGACAGCCTCAGAATGTTGATGATAAAAAGGCTCTAGATTGTTGTGGTGCGATGTTTCCAATGTTGTCAAACCCCTTGGTGTACAGATAGTGGCGTATCGGTTTCATGAAGAGAAGAAGTGGTCAATCAACCCTTAGTTGGGATCAAAATTTTAGAACACCTAGTCTTAGGTTTAAAAATTAGGATTTAGCATTATGGGTGGATTTAAGTGATGGGAAGGATTTGGGAGGTTAGATGTATGTATGGAGATTAGTTATGGAGTAAATGGAAAGATTCTCTAGCATTTGGGGGCTTAGGATTGAGATAGATAGCTTGGTCGAGAGCTCTTGAGAGGGTGGGAGTTGTGGGTTGTTTGAAAGCTATGGAAACTAGGGATGATCAGGAAGGGTGGTAGGAATGTAGGAGATGATGAAGATGAGGAGGTGATAGAGATAGGGATACAGATCAATCAGCAAAGAGGAGCAATTATCACCAAGAAGAGCCAAGGGTCAACTACCAAGCTAAAATAAAAAAAGGGGTCAACTGCCAAGCTACCTCCCCAAGATAATAACACCTCCATTTTTTTAATCAATCAAAGTTAAATTTCATTCATTCAAGCATATATTTATTATCTCGTTCATAAAATTAAAATTCAAAGAAAACAAAAAATAAAAGACAAGGGGACAAGAAGAAAGGAAGACAGGGAATTGAAATCAATCCTCCACTTCAGAAAAAAAAAACTTGAAATCAAAAATCCACTCAAGTCTTGACCAGCCATGCTATCTTTTTAATCAGTCCAACAACTATTAAAATAAAAGAAATATAAATCTAAATCTTTCCATATGGGTTAAAGTTTGAAAGTTCAAAATTTAGGCTAAATTTTTAAATCCAGCCTTTAATATAAAACTAAAATTTTCATATCAAGGTCCTTCATAGATGATTAAGATTTTTTGTAAAATGATGATCTCCTAGCCCTTGATTTCTTATATGTTTGATCCATTGATCATAATCCTGATATTCTACATCAATGACTTCATTGAGCCCCTTCAAAGCTCATCAAAGTTCTTACCAAATATTCGACCAACATTTGCCAGAAAAGCTAAGTCTCACCGTTATTTTCTCTTCTTCTCTTCATCCCACCTTATGTAATTAATTAACTCAAAATTTTCATCCTGGATGTAACATCTGATTGTATTTGACCCCTCTTTATTTCCTTTCTACTCAACACTCTCAAGAATGCTCCCTGAAGACTGTATGATACCTCCATTGTATTCAAATAACAATCTAAAGCATATTGCCACTATGTTGCCTTGAACATGGATGCAGGTCTAAATACTGAATCACAATAAATCATTGCCTCATCTTCACATATTGTTTTCTTTCTAGGTCTCCTAGTAGAATAGCCACAATGTAATATTTTCTCCTTATCTCAAATGAACCTCTAGTCTTGTTTTGATTCTCTTGAGAAAGCAAGTTTCCACTATTAACACCATCCATATATGATTATTGAGAGAAATTTTTCAATTATAAAAGCAGGGGGAATTATAATATATTATTTTGGAAGTCATCTTCAATAATTTTATGAGCTCTTTGATTGTTGAAGCTCGTAAGGAATCTAAGAAAACTATTTGTGATGCAAAAAGATTAGCTTTTAATGATTTATATAATAGATTAAATACTAAGGAGGAAGAAAGATATATGTATAAGTTAGTCAAATAAAGAGATACGAGTACTAAAAATTTAGTTCAAGCGAAGTGTTTTAAGGATGAAAATCAAAAAGTACTTTTCTTAGAAGATGATATTCAACAAAGGTGGATGAAAAATTTTGCTAAACTTTTTAATGAAGATTGTGAAAATACGATTGACTTTAGTGACTTTATCACCCTAAATGAAAATAAAGTTTTTTATTTTTATCGGCGTATTAGTAAAATCAAAGTTAGAGAGACTTTAAAGAATATGAAGTGTGGAAAAGCTCTTGGACCTGATGATATTCCAATAGATGTGGAAATGCTTAGGAGATGAAGAAATTTCTTGGCATACTAAATTTTTTAATACTATTTTGAAAACTAAAAAGATGTCAGATGAGTGGAGAATGAGCGTGTTAATTCCTATTTTTAAGAATAAAGGTGATGCACAGGAGTGTGCGAATTATAGAGGAATTAAGTTAATGTGTCATACTTTAAAACTATGGGAGCGAGTTATAGAGCGTAGGTTAAGATGTAATACTAATGTTTCTCAAAATCAAATTGGATTCATGTCGGGTAGGTCTACTATGGAAGTCATACATTTATTGAGAGGTTTGATGGAGAAATATAGAGAAAATAAGGAGGATCTGCATATGATATTTATTGATTTAGAGAAAGCATATGATAAAGTTTCAAGAGAAGTGCTATGGAGAGTCCTTGAAAAGAAAGGAGTTAATAACGCTTATATTCAAATCATTAAAAATATGTATGCATGAGCTATTACTTGTGTTCAAACACAATGTGGTTTGACTAAGTATTTTCCTATTTCAGTTGGATTACATCAAGGATCAGCCTTAAGTTTGTCTTTTTGCTTTAGTCATGGATGTTCTCACTAGACATTTGCAAGAGGATGTACCTTGGTGTATACTTTTTGCTGATGATATTCTTCTTGTCGATAAGACTAGAGATGGAGTTGAAGATAAACTTGAATTATGGAGGTCAACCTTAGAGTCTAAAGGTTTTCGCTTGAGTAAATCTAAAACTGAATATATTGAGTGTAATTTTAGTAGCAATAGACCTAGTGAGGGGATTGTGACTTTGTGCGTTCATGTCATTAATAAGAGTACATGTTTTAGATATCTTGGATCTATTGTTCACAGTGATGGTTAAATAGATAGGGATATTATCAGCAGAATTCAAGTTGGATGGTTGAAGTGGAGGAATGCTTCGGGCTTGTTGTGTGATAGAAAAATCCCCCTCAAACTTAAGGGAAAATTCTATAAGATGGTGGTGAGACCTGCAATGCTTTATGGTGACGAATGTTGGCCATTAAAAGAGATGCATAATACTAAGTTAAGTGTTGCAGAGATGAGGATGCTTAGGTGGATGAGTGGTTTTACCCTTAGACATAGGATAACAAAATGAGCATATACGTGAAAAGGTTGGAGTAGCTCCAATGGAAGATAAGATTAGAGATAGTAGCCTTAGATGGTTTGGCCACATTAAAAGGAGGCCTTCCGACGACCCTGTTAGGAAAGTCGATATATTAGATTTGACTTATGTTAAGAAAGGTAGAGGTAGACCTAAAAATACTTGGTTAGAATATATTAGAAATGATCTTTCTTCATTAGATTTAAATGAGAATTTGACTTTTAACATGACACAATGGCGAAAAAGGATTCATGTAGCCGACCCCATCTAGTGGGACAAAGGCTTCATGTTGTTGTTGTTTGATTGTTGAAGCATAACAATCATGGTCCTCCTTGGCCTATGCATTCACCATTGCAAAGCTTCACATCCATGAGCTCGGCTCCATTTACCTCCATCACTTATAAAGACACCCCCAATTCACGACCACAGCTCTCCAAATAAGTCCAACCAAGAATAGTTTATATTAACAAAATTAAAGTCAAATGGTGGATAGAGGACATGCTCTGACAATTATAAAACTCATCACACTATCAAAAAATATCATTATTGAAGGGCATCTAACTTGCATATTCAACAAGAATATGTAGTCTTGACATCAGTATTTAATATATTACGAATTTATCTAAACATTGGTTGTGAGATTCATAGAAGGATGGTGATCATAAGAGTAAGTGACAAAACAAGTATAGTACACTCAATTGAAAAACCTTTATTTCTTCTTATATTTGACCTAATAAAATAATTATATTGGGAGCTCTTAACTTTGGATGTTTGGCTCCTAGGCATTGCTCTCTTAATGGCGGCTGGGATTCCTAGGTTACAAAAAGTCCTGATTGTAAAGGTAGGTGTGCTCCATAACACAATGAAGGCATTAGATCATGAAGGGTTTGAACGCTTCTCCCCAAAACTTCACCTCTCAGGTAATAATAGATTGGTAGATGATTAGGTGTGCCTGCTCATTATTGAATGTAAAGGCACAAAATGGAGGTGATTGTATAGTACTAGCAGAATGACTATCAAGGCAAAGTGGGTGTCAATTGGCTAAGGTTGTAGTGGCAAAAAGAAGAGTAATTATTGTACTTCTTCTCTATTAGCAAGGCATGGCCATGTGTCAATCATTGGTAGTCCTACAGCCATTCCCAAACAATGATCTGAAAGAACTACGGACAGAGTAGTTCTAAAAGGATGCAAAAAAATTGTACAGCACGGTTATTTAAAAGAAGACAGCACATATCACTCTCCATGGAATAGTCAGAGACTCTTGTTGGCATTGGTCCTCACTTTCATGTATCGGTTTCTTGGACGCCATTACCGTGACATTCTTGATTATTAGATCCATGTGCTCTCCAGATTTTCCCTTTCAGGCGGTGTCGGACTCTAACCCCTTTAGACCCGATTTGCAGTCTGAGGCCGCCTACATCCTCCTCATACTGATGTGCTAATAGGATCAGTAAATAGGCACATTTACATGGAGATTGATGCATCTCGAAAGGAGGCTTACAGCTTACATGTTGTTGCCCTCGACCCAAAGAGAAATCATTCAACCTTTATACAGATGCCCAGCTAAATTTCAGTAATATACAATTACCCTACCGCCATAATGAAAATGCCAAATAGCCCACTCCATTTTAAAGAAAAGATAATATTAGAACTAAGACAAGGTCAGATAACAACTGGAAAAATCGCATAAAAATCATAAATAGGGTAGTGTTAAAGACTTAGACCAGGAGGAAAAAATAAAAACCTGAGGCATTTGCCAAGAATCAGGGATATCAAGCCGTGAAGCTGAAAAGATCTGCACAAAAACATTTGCCGAAATTAGATAGAAACATAAAGATGAGGTATTGAAGTGGAGGAAAACTTAGCGACAATCATCAGACCTTCTTAGACGAATTTATGAGACATATGCCAACGTTCTTTCGGTAGCCCGCGGGAGGTGCTTCCATGGAAGAGTAGAAGAGAAGATGAAATTGCTTCTGTGGAGTTGGCAAACGGAGGAGGATTGACAGGGCAGTGTAGCACGTATTTACTCAGAGTCGGATAGCTGGACAGACGGAATGGCAAGGGACGACACAAATAGATCATCGATCCCTTTAAGCGACGCCGGCTTCTTGAATAGAAATTATTACTTCAGAGTTTTGAATGCATATCCTAAATGTACTAGTATAATTTTTTTGACATTAAATGCATGCGGATAAAAATTTAAAATTAAAAATTTATATTATGAATATTTTAATAAAATTATTATTCTAAAAAATATTAAATTTATCAATATTTTTTAATTTACTTAAGATTTAGATATTTCTGTTAAAATCATACTAGAGAAAATATATTAACAATTCAATTTTAAAAAATATATATATTTTCTCTATAGAATTAATAATACAATAAAATCAATCATTTAATATTTAGATAAAAAAGCTCAATATAAATATGATATTATAGTATTATATTGATATATTAAACTAAAACGATTAAATAGATAAAAAATTTATCTTAAAATTATATGTGCAGCAATAATTTTTAAAGTTAGAAAGAAAATAATAAAAATGCACAATCACTAAGTCCACCATTTTAGGATTTTACAATATAATCAAATTTGGTAAAAATTCAAAATTAATAACTAATATAATATAATTATATTTATAATATATGAAATATGGAAAGAATAGAATCCAAATTATAATTAGCAATAGTACCAAACAAAAATTTGCTAGAATTTGCTAAAATTTGTGATATAAAAATAATCTTTAGAAGATAAAAATAATATCTTAAATAGTATTTGTTGCGTCAAGGAATATTCGCGACAATAGAGAAAAATAAAATTTAGCGTCTTAGCATTGTACGAAGATCCAGCACGCAAGCAGAAAGAGAGAGATTAAGACACCCGATCTTTTTTACGTGGAAAACCCGAAGAGGGAAAAATCACGGGGCCTCTCCCAGGTGAAAATATTCCACTAAATTTGAGTGAATTACAAGGGTTGACCCATCCCTCGATTTAGAGGTGGTCAAATTATAGTAATTTGAAGAGCTAGTCAAAGGACCGATGACAGTCAGACAAAAATTTGATGGGTTTTACGCAAAAGTTTGGCTGATAAGAAACGATTCGATGAAGGTCTGAAGGTGAACGGCGGCCGAGCGATGGCCCGGCGATGACCGGCTGATGCCCAACGACGGTTGGCGGTCGGACGGTGGTTAGGCGATGGTCGGCAGCCGGGCGGTGGTCCGATGAAGGTCGGGAAGAAGTCCGGTGGCGGTCGGGCGGTAGTCTGGCGGTGGCGGCGTCCGGGTGGTGGTTCGACAAAGGTCAGGCTGAAGTCCGGATGCGGTTGGCGATCGGGCTGAAGTCCGACGGCTGTCGGCGACCGAGCGGTGGTCCGGTGGCGGTCGGCAGCCGGGCGATGGTCTGACGAAGGTCGACTAAAGTCCGGCAACAGTCGAGGGCCGGGCAGTGGTCCGACGAAGGTCGGGCAGAAGTCCGGTGGCAGTCGGTCGGTGGTCTGGCGATGGTCGGTGGCCAGGCAGTCGTCCGACGAAGGTCGAGCTAAAGTACAACTACGGTCGGCGGCGGGCAGTGGTCCGACGGCGATCGGCAGCCGAGCAGTGGTCCGATGAAGGTCGGGCTGAAGTCTAGCAGTGGTAGGCGGCCAGGCTGAAGTTGGGCGGCAGTCGGCGACCGGGCGGTGGTCCGACGAAGGTCGCGTTGAAGTCCGGCGGCTATCGGCGGCCGGGAGGTGGTCCAGCGGTGGTCGGCAGCCGGGCAATGGTCCGATGTAGGTCGGGCTAAAGTATGACTGCAGTCGGCGGCCAGGCGGTGGTCCGACGAAGGCTGTCGGCGGCCAGACGGTGTGCTAGAGCGCTTGAAGCTTCAGAGCTTTCCCTAATCTCCAGCCAAGGTTCCTCTCATGTAGAGAGTGGGGGTCTATTTATAGATTTTCATGAGTGGCACACCCCGTAAATCTAGAGAAGATCCGGGTCAGGTTCAGAGTGCTCCATCGGATGGCTCGTATTGATTCCCCCGATCGTAGAGAGTTTTCAACTGTTTAAGTTCCTTAACAGTGTCGGAATCAGAGATCTTGGGCTCGTTGGATTCGTCTCGTCAAGACGCTCGATTTGACTATAAGCATGCCATATTTGGATATCATTTCATTATCCAAATAATGCTTTAACCCTTCCAAATGTGGTTCAGGCCCCCGATTCGGACCCATTTGGGCTTGGGTTGGACCAATTTTTGTGTTATTTGGTTCGTCCCTTTGAGATGTTCAATTTGATTATAATTTTGCTGAAATTTGAATCTAGATTATCCCAAATCTGATTTTGAAAATTTCCAATTTGAATATGCCTCGAGATTCGTGCTCAATCAAGACAATTTTTGATGACGTATCAATATTCAACATGTGTACAAATGAAAAATATGAATTTATAAATCCAATGAAAAGAGAATGATGTAGAATCTAGTGCCAAAAGGTTCGAATGATTTTAACAACACTATTTCCACTACAAAATTACATGAATTAAATTTGGATCAAATTACTAATTGTGAAAGAATCAAGTCATAAATTATAAAACACCCAACCTTCGTAACCTTTCTAAGCAAATTCCTATTGTGAATCCCTCATGAATATCCATAACCTGAAAATAATTGAATATTCTTACTAATTAAAAACCATAATCACATTAAGTCATTATTTTTAATATAATAGTTCAAGCACTTACCAAAAATATAGTAATCTCATTGAGTGCCTTTTTTATGAACCCATGGCATACCATAACATCCATTGAGATTACCTGAAATAGCATAACAATAAATAAGGAACAAATCATAAACTATAAAGTTGGAATTCATGTTGGACCTACAAATCAATCTTTACCTATACACTTGCCACTCAAATGGAGGGCCAAAATTGCAGCCTTTGCTATCATGATGCTCAAACTTCAAGGCTACCTATAAATGATAAACAAAAATTAAAAACAACAATTTATAAACCTTGATTGATTAATAATCTTAAGGTTCAATAATTTACTTTGAAGGCATATGGTCCTATTTTTTCTATCCCATCGAATATTCTTCTACCAACATAAATCAAGTCAAATCCAACTTTGTTCAGCTTCTTTTCTATTTTGTATACGAGAGAGTTAATAATTTGTACCTATAAAAATCAAAATTATGAGATAGAGTTTTGATTTACCATAACCATTTGCGAAAATCCTTCTATTATTATAATCGATGTTAAACAATCATATTGCATATATGAACCTGCTTGTATAGGTTAGCTGAATAAATTGGATTTAGAAGAAAGAAAAGGAAATTATTTACCAACTTATCTTATATGGTAGTTAGAGACTTAGAATTGTATTCAGTCTTAAATTAGTTTTGACGCAGAAATGCATGTAAACTTCTACCAGGAGAATTAAAGTTTCTCAATCTCTACTACTGTAATTTAAGGTAAAATTATGTAATATCAAGCTTACATGGGTGTTATGACCTTCTCAATGGATGTATTCAAGACATGATGTTGCAAAAAATGCACTTACTGGAGAAAATCTAACAAATTTTAAATTGAAAAAGAATCTAAGAAAATTGAGCACAAGGAAAAGATAGATTTAGAGTTTCATGCCTTAATTAGTCCAAACAATTCATCTTAGGCACAATTGTATACAACAAAAATAATGTACGTTGATGATATCATATGTAAAGTAGAATTAAAGGATAAGAATTGCAAATTAAATAGTGAAAGTTTGATGCAGGATGTTAAGCCTTGTTAAACTACCCCTAGGCACACCAACAAGGGGGGGGGGGGGGGGGGAACAAGGGGGGGGGGGGGGGGGGGGTGAATTTGTTGTTTAAAAAAGTTAACACAAAATATTTTTTTGAGATTTTTTTAATAACTTAAAACAAATAATGTTATCACTCAAAATGGGGTAAAATTAATGAAACAAACTTATAACTATAGTGATGATGAGTTACTAAAAGTAATATATCATAAAACATAAAATTTTCTAACATGCAATTTTCAGAAAAATAAAGCATACAAAAGTAAATTGCATAAAGCAAAACTTAGAATGAACACACCAAAATTTTATAATTATTTAGTCAAACAATGACCTACATTCACTCCTTGGAGTCCTCTCCGAGTATTGCACTAAAACTTTAGTGTCTCTCGTTTAACCCCCACAGTTAGACGGAGAAGCCCTTATAATATTTAACCAACCTTGTGCGGCATAGAACATTGACCTCTTTTTCACCCTCCTGGTGAAGATAAAGAATCTAACAATCCTTGTTCACACTCTTGGTGAAGGCAAAGAACCTAGACGGTCTTCAGGCTAACATTCTTCTTCCCAGAGCTACCTAAGAAACCAAGCAAGACATTGAATGTTCGTGAAGGTTGTTAGACCTTATATAATCAGCCCGAGGCTAACCAAAAATTGGGTGAATTTGTGATTTAAAAATTTCTTTAAATAAAAAAACTCCCTTTTAAAGCTTTTTCAACATCTAAAATAGATAATTTTATCCCTTGATGCGGAAGCAAAGTAATTTCACAATAATAGAAAATAAGAGATTTCTAACCATGTATTTATCAAAAAAATAAATGCAAAAAATTAAGTGCAAAAAAATAATAAGAACAAACATATCAGATTTTCTAGTGGTTCGGTCAACCTGACCTACGTCCACTCCCCGGAGTCACCCACTCTAGGTATTGTACTAAACCTTTAGTAACTCTCCTTTAGCCCCCACAACTAGGCAGAGAAGCCCTTACAAACTCTCTTCCACCAACCTGATGTTGTAGAGGATCGTACTCCTTTCATAGCCAGAGAACCTTGACTCCTTTTCACCCTCCTAGTGCGGCAGAGAACATAGACTCCTTTTCACCCTCCTAGTGAGACAGAGAATCTTGAATAGCTTTCATCTTCACCAGTGCAGCAGAGTATTCTGGTCTTTTGACACTAAAAAGATCGTATTCTTCCCAAAATTTCTCTTAAGACAGACCTTGAATTTGATGGTACTAAGATGCAAGCTTGTCGGAGCAACCATGTGAAACCCCCTCCATACTTCCTTTAAACTCACAAAGATCTTCTCCCTCTCAAACTACACCCTTTCTTCTCTCCCTTTCAAGGCTCTCTTCAAGTTTTCTCCAAAAGAATGGAGACTTAATGCATGCCAAAGATACTTACAATGTCTTTAGAGAAAACTTAAATAGAGGGCTTTGAAAAACCCTAGAAACTCAATTCTACTGCCAAAGATCATACAATACGATGTGTAGAATTTGACCTAATAGTACTGTATAATCACTATATATTATAGTACGATCAATTCAAACTTATATTGATCCTCTCGTATGATATTGGGGATCATCCTGGCAGGTTAGATGAACAATTATTATATTTCATCTTGGACGATGCTGGATCATCACATGAAATATCAAAGACCGTCCAGTATAATCATCGTATATCACCCTATACAATCTGATCGAGAAATCTAACCATAATTAGTCCCCTAATCAATGGATTAATTTATGTATCATTGTCATAGATCATCCATTACGATGTATATTGTCTTAGACGATTAGAACAAATTTTGAATCTTAAAATCTTATCTAAATTATGATTGATTGATATTTTTCATGAACATAACTTATCGTCATGTACGATCTAATTGATCTAGTATAATTAGTTAGATGAGCTGATCATACAGTACGATATAAATCATACAATACGATTAGTTCAAAATTTAAACTTCTGGTTTTGACTCAATCTCACTCCCCCTGACTATGTGTGTGCATAATCACCACGCTAACATACATCCTTATAGAACTTGACTCAAAAAATTAAATATACATCAATGAATATTATAAAAAATTTTACAGCATAACCTATTATACCCAATCTTGAGCCCTGAATCTTTATTGGATGGTGCATTGTGTTTCTAAAATATTAGTACACACACAAACAAATATACATTTCAAATACAAGTAGACATAATAAGGATGTGAGCCACAATATTTGTTATAATAAAAAATATAAACTTATGAGCTCGAGTTGCAACTTACATTTGGAGGAAACAAGGCAAAAGCTTGCTTGGAGCAAGCATGTGAAAACCCCTCACACTTCTTCTCCCTCACGCATAAACTCTTCTTTCTACTTCCCAAAGGCCAGATCTCTTCTAAGAGCTTTCTCTCCAGAAAGCCGAACAGCTAAAGGCTTAAAACAAGTCAATTAAGAGAGCTTAAATATAAGGCTTCATAAAAAAACCATAATAATTCAATTCAGTAGAGATTAATCGTATATTTTGATAGAAAATCGTACAGTACGATTAGTTCAAATAGCCCTGTTAGTACTGTACGAAGAATAAGTCGTTGTATGATCTATTCAAATATTTGAGTTGGTCATCAAGTACGTTATATGAAATTGTTCAGTATGATTAGTTTAATAGAATTAGATTATCGTCCAATATGAATGGTTGTGATCAATTATTATCTCATGTAGAGATTGGGTCATACAATATGATTGGTCTAATCGTACATCACGATCTAACTGGAATAATTAATCCATATTTGATCCCTTAATTACATGATTAGATCATGCAATATTTGATTATATCGTATAGTACAATGTTTATCGTCCGGTCTGATTAGTATAAATTTTGAAATTCAAAATCTTGCCTAAAATATGACATTACAAAAAAAATAACTTTTAATGACATATTTATTAAGACACTTTTATTTAAGTGTCTTTAAAAATATATATTAAGGCATATTCTAATTTGGCGGGATTTGACGCTAAAAGAGCGATTTGGCGCAATGAGGCATCATGCGAAATTGCGAATAGGTTTTCATTCTCGCTTCTTGTTCTTTCATCCAACGCATATTTAGGCATCTAATTGAGGCGGTGTGCATTATCTTCATCTACCGTTCCTAGTCGATCGGCAGGAGTTTGCTGCTCTTCCTCTTCAAAGATCTCTTAAAATCTTTTCCCCTCTTTTCTAGGGTTTCAGTCGGGAGCTTTATAACTTGCTTCGGATCATCGGCGTCAGAGGAATAGGAGAATGGCGAGAAGGAATGACACGATTCATGCGGAAATTGGGACTTTCTATTATGTGAATCCTATAAAGCAAGAATAGAACCAAGGTCAGAAACTGCTCATTCAATCTTTTCGTATATTTCTTCTTCGTCTTAGCTCATTTTTTAGGAGTCGAGAGCCGAGCTCTTTTTGTCTCGCATATATTTTCGAACAGGGAAGGGGTATCGACACCGAGGGAAATGAGGAAATTCGATCCATGGTCGATATTCTTCCGCAAGGAATGGAACAGGAACTGGCCTTTCCTCACTGGCTTTTCCATTACTGGAACGATTATCATCAAGATGACTGTCGGCTTAACCGAGGAGGATTTCAAGAATTCCCCCTTTGCTCAAGCGCATAAAAGGAAGTAAAATTCTGAACGTCTATGATTTGATTGTTCTGAACATGTTTCAGGAATGCAGCCTTATTCTTTTTTTTTTTAATTTCTTCAGACAACTTTGCTTGTAATCCTACTTTTTTATATCGCAAAAACTAAAATAAGGTCTGATCAACTCCAATTTGAGAATATCTTCTATTTGACTATCTGATGATGATTTAAGAGATACATCGTTGCTTCTTTAAAAAAAAAATTAAATCTATACGTCTCTTTCTTCTTTTCATTGTCTAGGGTTCTTGAGGTTTTTCTCAATTTTCGAACGATCAATCCTTTACTCTCATCGAACGCAGGTACATTGCCGAAAGGTAAATCTTCCACTAATATTGAAGTTCATTTTATTGTTTGAGTCGTCACTTGATTCTGAACGTTGGTTTGATCATAGTTCAATTCATCACTTTTTCTTGTTTATATCGGAAAGACTCCCTGCTATTTGAGAGTTTATATTTTGCTTTAGTTGACTTATTTCAGTTTTAACAACATTGCATTAATTTTTTTTTCAGATGTTTTGATATTAACAATCTATGCATTTAAAATACAAATTTCTTCCTTGCAACTAAAATTTGTTAGGGAATAATGAACCAAAATACCATCACAACCGAATTTTGTTTTGGGGATTATGCCCCTGAAGACCCCCGCAATGGCGCTGCCCCTTGACCCTGCGAACTCTTCAAGGTAAAGGTGCTACGGCCAAAATTGTTGGGCTTTGTCTTCGACAAGGTAAAATCCCATAAACTTAGGAAACCTAGGTCTCAAAGCCCTTATTGGATGTGTGGTTGATGCTCCCAAACCCTTAGGTCCTTAGAAACCCCGCTTTACAGTTTTCTAAACCCAAAAAAACACTCTCTGTTGTCCTCTCCGCAAAATGGTGATTTTGATTTGTTTGGTCTCACATGAGAGCCCGAGGTAGATGTCAATACGCGTAGGGCCGCTTGACTTATGTCAACGGTCATCCAATGCATGAATATCACATTCTTAAATTGGCATTCTCCAAACCATAGAATATCACATCGTCCAAACCAAAGAACGAACTGCTGAATTATTCTAAGAACTCTGAAAAATGCATCCATGAGAACTTTCCTCTTTACGAACTTCAATGGCATTCTCCAATTGGCAACAATTATGCATTATGAATAGCGAAAGCCATAACCCATGCATCACTTTGCAAGGAAAAAAAAAAGCTTGTATTCATGTTGTTGTTAGCTGGCTACGTCAATTTATATTGGTCTCCACTTAAAATCATTCAAGATGCAGCTTCTTAATATTGTCTTACATTTATCTTAACACCTACCTTAAATTTTTTTAATGTTTGACATGCTTAATATATTACTTGCAAGATGCAGCTTATTTTCACGGTAAGTATTTTTTCACCTATGATTGTGCAGTGGCACTTGTGCCGAGTTAAGTTGCGTTAAACTGTTTAGTTGTTGTGAGATGTGGTGATTGATTCCTTAGAATGCAAACCATGCTTTGATTTTTTTTGAAACAGTGGCAAATATACAGTCTTAATGCACCAATGATTGATTGCATGGATGTTGTTTGTAACATGATTTACCTGGGAAGAAAAGCTTTCATGCATGTAGATAGACCTTACAGAATATGTTGAGAAACATAAAGCCAACATGTTTTACTTATGGACAAACATGTAAGTACTTATGTTTGAGATTTGATGATTTTTTTTAATTTACAAATTTAACGTTTTTTTGCGGTTGCAATTTTACTTCATGCTGCTTGCCTAGTTTTCTTCATATACTGCACAAAAAATTTTCTATATTATTTTGCGCTCAATTCCTAGGCACAAGCTTAGAAAATATAAGCTAAATGCTAGATATCTTTTTTATTTATAGTGAATTAATTCTATTAATGCTAGCTTGAAGCAACACTACAATTTCAGTCTTTGGTATCTACTGGGCATTGTTGGATCCAAAAAGATCAGGAGAGCATGAAAACGCTGAAATTGAATAAAATCATAAGGAAAAGAAATGAAATTGAACATGGAGAAAATTGGCATCACATCTTTGATGAAAACTATTTTTCTGCCGTAATTGTGAGGTAGGTACGGTTACTTCATGCTGATATAGTTTATCTATATATTAAAGTTCTTTTGTTTGTTTAAAATTTTCAAGTTACGCGTGTTTTTCTTGAAAAAGGCCGATCATTTTAAGATTAGAATAGCTATGTATCACCAATGTTACTTGAATTGTTTCTTATCATCTGTATGAATGAAACACAAATTATTTTCAAGCTTATACACTACAACAATTGTCTTCCATACATTGTTTTTTCATCATGATGTCATTGTTTTTTTTTTAATTTAAAATATACCTATTTAAAATATTTTTAAAATTCGTTTTGCTTTCCAAATAATTTAATTCTTCATAATATGCATAATAGTTTTGCATCTTTAAAATTATCTATCTTGAACGATAAGATATGTCATGTCATGCATATAAACTACTGCTGAAGTTTTTAATCATTGATTACAGTATATGGACGAGTGGAATGATATATTCAAGCAAACTCAAAAGTAGAAAAGCAAGGCGCAATTGATGATCGTGATATGTACTTTCCTCCAGTGGATGACAATGAAGTGTAGAAATAGAAATCCCAAGACTTCGTTGCTACAGTGTAAAGAAATCATGATAAGGGCCATTTTAAATCATGATTCAGAATTGATATATCATCAAAAATTTATCTTGACCGGGCACTAATCTCGAGACAACTATCACCATGAATATTCCAGGACGCAACAAGAATAGATTTTAACAAGATGTAAAAAAAACACAAAACATGGACTCAAATTTTATTGCAATATACAGACTAAATAAATAGTCTAAGATAAAAAATGGAGATATATATATATATATATATATATATATATATGTATATGTATATGAGATTTTTAGAAATTTGGTTGGAGATTAATTATTTGCAATTGAAATATTATGATTCAACATTATTAATTGATAATTGAATATAATTTATATTAGATATAGCATATATCGAGGCACAAAATAATGTCATTTTATTAAAATTATTTTATTAAATTCAAGTGTTGGGAAATCATATATTTTAGGACAACTTAAATGTGACTTATTATTAAACATATTTCATCAAATAAATGTGTTAGGAAAGTTAACCTATTATGACAAATAATATTTGTTATATGTATTAATAAATTTCATTATATAAATGTGTTGGAAAAGTTGGTCTATTAGGACACATTATAGGTGTCATTGAAGAGACTATGGCATCAAAATTATATGTCATAAAAGTTTAGTTTTTAGGGTGCAAAAAGATGCCCTTAACCCTATGCCAACGGCCACCTAAGTGACACAATTGTTTGATGCCTTAATATATCATGTGCCTTAATAGATACATATTATGACACTTTAAAGTGCCCTCATAGCCATTATTTTTTGTAGTGTGATTAATGGCTGAGATCATGATTTTTACTTATCGTCTTGTACAATATGGATCGTATAGTACGATGAGTAAAAAGAACTTTAATTATGGAATTTAATCGTTTCAATTCGAAAGACTGATCATATTTGGTATGAATTGTACAGTTCTATTGTTGAATATATTCAATCATACTGAAAAAATGTAAATAAATTCAAATTATCGTCAGTCCTATACATATTTCTGGTATACATATTGGTATTACCAGCAATATGAAATTAAAATATATTAGGGGTCATTTAGTTTCTTGTAGATAAAAAGAATATTTTGCAAAAGTAATGATTCAAAAGACAATTCTAATGTTCAGTTTTTTGCAAGGATTATCTGGCAACAAATGCGCAATAGTAATAATCTCTTTTGTGGTAAATGCGATTAAAACATTTTCGATCATTTCATTTCACCTTTTGAAGACTTATCAAGTAAATAAAAATTCTTTTGTTTAAAATAAACACATTGCAACTACTAAGCTTTACGTTTAAATAGATATATAAAAGTGGTTCTCATTTAACTTCATAAATTTCATTTAAATGAATATTTCATAATAAAAAATTTGTTCTCAAATGCTTAGCATATGATAATAATAAATTTTCCCACTTTATTTATAAATTTATTTTTGATATAATTATTGTAATAATATTTATAAACATTTATGAAATTAGTTACTAACATTCATGAGCAAGTTGGCAACCTATTTTCATCGGTCACTAAATAAAAATCAAATTGAATTTAGTACACTAATCATATTAAAATAAATAAATAAATCAATCAATAAGTTAAGGAAAGATAAGTCATTTAAAAGGCACGCTAGTAATAAATAGTTATAAAAATATCAACACTTCGTGGTTTCTTATTACTAAAATTTAAAATATTATTTTCATTTGCACTCATTTGTTTTATTATTTTTAATTTGATTTTGAAAACATTTTATATTAATTTTAAAATTTTCTTAACATACACAAATATATATATTAATAAGAGCCATTTGTTGGAATGCAAAAAATTTTAATTGCATTTGTTTCTATATTCAAATACAATTAATTAATACATTTATATCCATTATAATTTTAACTTATACATATCTTAGCAATTAATAATATAATTCATTAATTAATATTCATTCATTAATAACTATTAAAATTTTGTAATTTTAATTATTCATAAATTTTAAAATAAAAAATGTAAAGTATAAACTTAATTAATTATTTCATTAAAAAATCTTGCCATTTTAGAATTATGAAATTGTGTATAACAGAATTTGAAAATCCACATATTTAAAGTAATAACTATTATTTAATTAATTATTTACAAATTAACTAATTAATTAATTTTTAATCATTAATAATTTTTACATATTATATGGCTATGAATAAAATAAGTAAATTAAAATAAATCTATCATATATACCATTATTATAAAAGTGTTTTGAGTTTTTTCCAATTTGAAATTTTAACCATTCATTTAACTCTTACTATTTTAAATCTCAACCATTTAAATTTATTGTCTTTTATCTATAATGAAAGTTCGTTAGATATCACTAGAAAGTGCTCTGATACCACTTGAGAGTTCACTAGGGATGTTAAGCCCTATAGAACTGGCCCAAGGCTAAATAAAGTGAGTGGTGAATTGGTAAAGAAGAAACTTTAAGCAAAGTACAAACCAAAATCACCACAATAAAAACCAATGCAGAAGCAAATAATAAGAAAGAACACACCGGATTTATAGTG